ACTGCTCTACCTTCATCCACGTGTTTGGTCACCTCTTCAAAGAATTCAATAAGGTTTGTGAGGCATGATCTACCCTTCACAAATCCATGCTGACTATCACGAATCAAACTGTGCCTATCCAAGTGATCATAAATCCTATCTCTCAGAGCCCTTTCCAATAATTTGCCCACCACTGACGTAAGACTAACTGGCCTGTAATTTCCGGGGTTATTCCTATTCCCTTTTTTTGAACAAGGGAATGACGTTTGTCTCTCTCCAATCTTCCGGCACTATACCCGGCAATCTCTTCCCTCGCTACCCATAGAATCCTTGGATAAATCCCATCAGGCCTGGGGGATTTATCTATCTTCAAGTTCCTCAAAATTCCTAGTACATCTTCCTTACTAACATTGACCTCCTCTAGCCTGCCAGACTGTTTCACACTGTCCTCCTCTATAACTAGGTCCCTCAGTTGTGAATACTGAAAAAAAGTATTCATTAAGGACCTCTCCTATCTCTTTAGGCTCCGTGCACAAATTCCCTTTACGATCCTTGATCGGCCCTACCCTTTCTCTGGTCATTCTCTTATTCCTCACGTACGTGTAAAAAGCCTTGGAGTTTTCCTTGATCCTATCTGCCAAGGTTTTCTCATGCCCCCTTATAGCTCTCCTTTCTTCAGCTCCTTCCTGGCTAACTTATATCCCTCTCGAGCCTTTTCCGATCCTCGTTTCTTAAACCTTATATGAGCATCCTTCTTCCTCTTAACCGGTTGTTCGACCACTCTTGAGAACCAAGGCTCCCTCACTCGACTGCATCTTCCTTGCCTGCTAGGGACAAACATATCGAGCACACACAGTATGCATTCCATAAAATCTCCACATTTCAATAGTGCTCTTCCCTGACAGCATCTGTTTCCATTTTATGTTACCCAGTTCTTGCCTAACAGCATTGTAATTACCCTTCTCCCATTATAAACCTTACCCTGCTGTATGTACCTATCCTTTTCCATGACTATTGTAAAAGTAACAGAGTTATGATCACTACTGCCAAAATGCTCTCGTACCGACAGGTCTGACGTTCGGTCCGGTTCATTGCCAAGCACCAAATCCAAAGTGGCCCCTCCTCGTGTAGGTCTATTTATGTACTGTCAGGAATCCTTCCTGAACACACTGGACAAAATCCACTCCATCTAAACTATTACATCTAAAAAGTTTCTAATCAATATTTGGAGAGTTGAAGTCATCCATGACTACAACCCTGTGACTTCTGCACTCTTCCAGTATCTGTCTTCCAATCTGCTCCTCCACTTCTCTGCAACTATTAGGGGGTCTGTTTAAAAAAAAAACAACAGTGAGTGCTCCTTTCTTGTTCCTGACCTCAACCCAAACTGACTCTGTAGACATATCATTCTCGAACTGCCTTTCAGTAGCTGCTATACTAGCCCTGACTAGCAATGCCACTCCTCCACCACTTTTACCACCCTCCCTATTTCTTTTAAAGCATCTAAATCCTGGAATTTCCAACAACCATTCCTGTCCCTGAGTTACCCAAGTTTCTGTAATGGCTACAACCATTAATGGTCTACTTTTAATGGTTTACTTGGAATTGTCTACTTTCGCTCCTCATCTGTATGATCAAAAGCTTGAGATAAGAAAGTAATTATCAAATGAATTCCAAAACAGATAAGTGTGGGTTTCCATTTTTAAGAAAAAAAGATGAGGGCCACGTATTACTTGGAAAATAAGACTCTAACTGGGATAGAGGAGTACAGTCGTACTAATACGCAGAAAATAGAATCTCTACAGTGTGGAAGCAAGCCGTTCAGCCCGAGTCCACACCAACCTTCCAAAGAGCACCCCACCCAGACCTATCCCTCCCCCACCTGTCCCTGTAACCCTGCATTTCACATGGCTAATCTACCTAGTCTGAACATCCCTGGATGCAATGACCAATCCTGCACATCTTTGGACTGTGGGAGGAAATGGAAGCAAATCCATGTAGGCACAGGGAGAACGTGCAAACTCTGCACAGGTGGAAAGTGGAATCGAACCCAGTTCCCTGGTGCTGTGAGGCAGCAGTGCTAACTACTGAGCAACTATGCCGCTCTAAGAAATCAGAGCTCATCAGGGATTTGAACCTGGGATCTCTTGCATATCTACAGTGGTCAAGGCCCTAAGCAAGAATCATACCCTGACACCAAAGAGCCATTGAACATAACATTATAGGTTACTTTGATCATTTCCAAAAAAAAAATAGGAAAACAAGCATTGAAGTTATTTCTAGAGGAAAAGAATTGTAAAGTGGTCAAGTTATGCAAAATTGGGATTGAACCTTGGTTAGATTGCACTTGGAGGACTGTGTACAGTTCCTGCTGCCATATTATATAAACACAATATAAAGATGTGGAGAGAACCCAAATAAACTTTCAGGAATGCTACTTGAACAGGAAAGTTATATAAACAGGAAAGGGTCATCAGATTGCTCTTTTGTCCCTTGCTAAAATGATGCTAAACTAATGCTTCTAAATTTAAAACAAATGTTTTTATGGAGGTTTTGGAAAGTGCTTTTATTTCCTGGGGGTTGGGTGGATGGGTGTTTGAGTACAGAACATGCCATTTAGTCACTTCTAGTTACCATACATAGTAACTATAAAAAAAATGAAATAAGAAATTCAGAAGAAAGATCTTGAATCAGAATGGTGAGAATGTGAAGCTTGCCACGAGAAGCAGTGGTTAAGGATCAATCGTGTTAATGCATACAAAAGGGTAGAAAGTAGGGAGTTATGATGGTAGGGCTAAGGAGGAAGGACAGAAGTAACTTGGCGTAGACCATAAATTCTGTCTTGGACTGAATAGACTATTTATAATTATAGTTTATCACAGCAATCCCATCAATCCCAGTGTATCTGCTTTTGGTGGTGTTGATTGAGGGACAAATATTGGTCGAAGCACTGGAAGAAACTACTTATTGCCCCACAGGCTGTGCTTTAGGACATTTAATGCCCACTTGTGCAGAAGCTCCTTTTAAACATCACATCTGACAGAAGGCAGTTTTGACAATGCAGTGTTTCCTGGACATAATTTCAAAGGGGCGCTCTCTGCTGTTTAGAGAATTGACAAGAGTCCCATATTGCCTCTATTGGAGAAAACCCACTACATTGAGTGCCTTGCCTGGGATCATCTACCCCATGAGCAGAAATCCCACCGCCTAAAAGTTACTAGCCAGTTAGAAGCAGGAGCTCTACATTGTTCAGCAATGCCACCTGGGGGGTAGTTTCTGTTGCTGGAAATGCACTCACCCATGGCCCAGAAATGCTTAGGGACCCAGGCCATAGGTGAGCGTTTGGACACAGGGGAAGGGGGCAGCAGAATGGCAGAGCTACCTGACCCAATGAGTATTTTCTGTTTTTACTTTCAAACTGTGGTCAAGTGGATTTACGTAAACTTACATTTCTTACACTTAAACTCTTGCTCCATTTTGGCACACAAGTAGTGTGAACTGCATGCTTTGAAGGCAGACTGGAATGCTGTGAAACAATTGTGATGCTGTTTGTTTGCCCAAGTTCAATCGGTGTAACTTTTCTCAGGAAAATACCTTACATGAAAAGGGGGGGTCGATCTTTTGATACGCGTTAGCTTTTCTTTTAGGTACCGAATTGCACAGCAAAATGGGTCATTAGCATTATATTGACACCCCCTTGGCTGATCTCGGCACAAAACGGGGACTAGAAAAATTAATTAAAGGGACCTATTTAGTTGTGCTACTTTGTTGCATTTTAGAACCCACACACCCTCTGCGGGTACCACTCATTTGGTAAAGATTTGAACTATTCATTTCAAACTCACTTCAGGAAACTACTTGCTGGAATTCTCAAGATTTCACAAAACACTATTCTCTTAACCAGAGCCTGTTTCAAGTACCCTTAATATTCAGGTTCTCAGACTTTCAACGCCAATATCTACTTTACTGTGGTGCACTTTAATTCTCTGTGGAGATAGGCCTGCTGAAGAAAGATGTTAGATTTCGTAGTGCTGACGTTGATCTTCAGTTTCCGTGAAAGATATTTGATTTACTGACGTGAAACCAATTTTATTTTATTTTATTGGTTGACCGAATGTTATTTGGAGCTTTTGTTATGTGTAGATAATGGTCTTTTTCTTGTGCTTCAGATCCCAGTGTTGCAGCCTTTGATCAGAAGGTGTATGAATTTAGTTCCAAGCAAAGACTTATACCCAGCGTAAAGGTCAATCATCTAACCTATAGCTACACATAACATGGGTATGAGGAAGTACAGGGATCCAAATACTCCTGTTCTCCACCCTCATTCCACCCCATCCCATCCCCAATCTAGGATGATGGCAATTTTCCACTTGGTATGTCAAGGTTATGCTACTTTCATTGAAGAGTGAGGTGAGCACTGCAGTTGTTAAACGAAAATTTTTAAAATTGCAAAACTGACCTTATTTCAGTACCATCAGCTCCTGTCCCATTTGTATCTAATTTGTTCTGCAGCCATTTTATCAATGACAGTTGATATTTTTCCAACCGCTCATTCATTACAGAAAACTATCCTATCAATATAGATGGGATTTGTGAACAATTCTCACTTATGTCTGTGTATGTGGGTTAAAGAAAAGATAGTGCTAATTATATTTTATTACAATTACACTAAGATTTACTTTGTCATACACAGTACTAGTGAATCATGACTTTCTTAAAATATGAAATGCAACTTGCTGTGTTTTGTCTGTCTGGAATGTTTAAAATAACCATCTGTAAGCTTTGATCAAATTTGCTTTTTAGCTGATTAGATTTCTTTTAGAAATTGTTCTCAGTGATGACTGTGATGCTTTTTAAAAAAAAAACTTCTAAGTGTGGCTTCGTTGCTGTCACTGCTTTATTCCTTTTTCAAGTTGCAGTTGAAGAATTTCTGTTCAGTACTGTGAACTTTCTATGTGTGTGCTGTGAATATGTACCCTAAATTTCTTCTCCCTTCCATTTCTGCCCTTGTTTCTTCACAGTCATTGTATACAGCAGATTCTAGAAAGTGTAAATCATTGTCACCTTAATGGCATAGTTCACAGGGACCTGAAGGTCAGTATTTACCCATGAAATGCAAGCAGAAATATGTTAATAGGGATGGGAAAACAGTCTTAAAGATGACCCTTGCCTCAGCATATACTGCATGGTGCCTTTTACCTATTTGCAAGTCCACATGTCTGCTATGCATCATGGTCGAAAAAATCAATTGGGCAAAGTCTTTTTCTAGTTTTAAGGTTCCGGACAATGAACATTTATTAACATGTTTGAATTGTGATGGGGAAAGGTGTGGGTGTGTAAATATGTTGCAGTTTTTTAAAGAAAACTTTGCTATTGATGCATTGCTGCGTGTGAATGAACACCACTTCTGTTCTGAGACTTGGACTGTGATAGCAATTATTTGTACAACTGGTCACACGTTACTCCATTGGAATACGTATAGGCAGTCAGAAAAATTAGGAATGATGAAATATTTAAAATATGATAACACTTTTAATCTAAATTAATAGCTATGTTGACTATAGTGTTTACGCACTATATTATTTAACAAAAAGTATTATTGAAAGATGAAAAATTGAGAATGATTAACATCAATTTGACAGTCATTTATTTTCCAAAGGTGGTGTCATAGTAACCATTTTGTTTACCAAAGCTAAAAGTTACCTGAAAGAAACGAAGTGGCTACCTACTGCTGCTTTCTCATTGGCTAATCATGACTGTATGGTGGCCACTGAATGTCTAGCCAACAGCTCAAAGGAGGATGTCTGTAAATCTAATTCAAGTCATTGCAGGGAAGCTGTGAACTCTTGGTTAATGTGCCAATGGTTATTCTGCTGGAGCATCTGTGTTTAGGTCCATTAAGGACAATTCAACAAAACACCAGTTGTTTGCTATTGACTATGAAGCCAGTCTCGCCGACAGTACACAGAGAGTGAGTGTCAGCTGGGAACTAACACACACCCCTGGTGTTTGCATGCAGTCATTGCATTCAGCAGATCCTGGAGGCTGTGCTTCACTGCCATCAGATGGGTGTGGTCCATCGAGACCTGAAGGTGAGTGATTTGAATATGATTTGAAAAGTTCATACTGCCCTGCAGTCATGCATGAGATGGAGTCAAAGCTCGTTCCAACTTCCTTAGGTGAATGTCAACGCGTGTAGGTACCAGGTGATTATTTTGACTCAAAAATCAGTGTCCCTAAAATGTGTCACTGACTAAAGGAGGGAAATGGATTTGTGAAGCAAGGGCATCTCTTTTAATTTCTGCAACAAAATTATGAGCATCTCCGGTTCTCATTATTATCAGTCTTCTCAGCCATGCTTGCTTGCGGTTTTGAAGGTGGTGACTGATGGTGGCCATTCTTCAGACACAACCCCAGTAAGGTTTGATAAACTGATCACATAGGGTCAGGGACCACAAACAGCCTGGCTTTAGCTTGTCCAGTATTCATTAGGAGATCCAAAGAAAAAAAAATCCAAATCTGATTCAGACAGAAGACTATATTTTCACTGCATCAGACTACATTTAAGTATGTAGATCATTTTTCATTCTTTTTCTGCTTACTCGTTTTCTGAAACAATTCCTTTTACCTTTTACCTTTGGGATCAGTAGTTATATTCTCAAAAAGAGAAACTTGGAAAGGGAAGGAGTTAATCCATTTCAAACATATGACATAGATAGGAACAGAGACAGTATCAGAGGTTGGGCCCTAAACTACTTTTTGGAAAAAAAAGGTAGAACCTCCTGTAATAATTTCTGGATTATTGCCTGAGCCATTTGAAAATGGGAACAGGAGCAGACAAATTGGGAGAATGAGCATGTGATGAATGGGCTGGTGAGTGCGAGAGGTGTGCTTTTTCATGGGTACCAGCACCAACTCTGGAACAGGAAGGAGGTGTACTGATTGCGTGGAGCCCGTGTCCTAAAAGAAAGAACAAAAGGGGAGTTGGCGAAGGCTTTAATCTCTCAAGGGAACAGTGGGGCGTAAGCAGAACCAGGAAGGAGAACGTGGCAAACAATAACGGAGGATAATTTAACATGGGTATAAATAAAACAAGAGTCTAAAAAGATGATGAAACACATTGTGAGAGACAATGCTATTTAAAAAAAAATCTGAGTTAAAATTTCTTTACTGCATGACCACAGTAATTGTTATAAATTGGGAAAGTTCTATGGGATTATGTATTGGGCTGAATCATATATAGTTAGCAATCCACACATGGCAACAAAACGTTGAATAGTGCAAATCAAATACTGCAGGTTACAACATATATATAGACTAAGTAGAGCGGAAAAACTTAGATTTACTTAGAGCTGTTTCTAGCAGATATGAAACCAGCAAAATTCAAAGTAAATCAGTTGGAGTGTCAAAGCAATCCACCACACTTGGAAATATCCAGCTCGTAAACAAGCAATATGCTCTGCACTTCATCTCCAACACTACCCCACACGTCCCTGGCATGTTCACCCTCCCCTCCTGGCACTGTTCACCATTCCCCCCCCATCCCATGACAATGGTCACTCCTCTCCATCCTTTCCATGCCCTCACACAATGCCTTTACCGACTGCCTGTAGAATCCCAAGCTCCTATCAGGATGATATCCGAAGAGGCGTCATTGTTGCAGAGTGAATTGGGTGGCTGGTGCTGCTCATCCTCCTGGGGTGAGGGAAAGTTTGAGTTCTAGGGATGAACTTTGGGGGTTGTGGGGGGGGGGGGGGGGGGGGGGGG